TCATTTCTCTCCACTCTCCGCAACCATTTTCGCCGTAGGCATCCTCTGTTCTTCTTGGTTGGTGGTGGTGGTGGCTAGACAACACAACGGCCGACGTCGCATCTTAACCCTAATTTAAAAAAACTTGTTTGTGCTTCCTAATGGGCTTAAAAGCCCAAATGAAAATAGGCCCAACATAGTTAGCCCAACAAAACGAAAATCTCAAGCCCATTAAAGATCCTATAGCTTTATTAACTTGTAACTCACGCAAGTAGTCCAAGAAACAATCTTGAAAAACTTGATTTTCTCGATTTAAATCGAAAGAGTAGAGACATCAAATCAAGTCCTACAATTAACTCTTGCACCAAAACGATATGTTTTCTTAAAAATCCGAAGTCAAAAGAAGCTTCACCATTTGCTTTGGCTTCACAACTATCATGCAAAGCTCTCACAAAAAGACATGAAGTCTAAAACGTCCTTCGGTGGATCGATCCAAAGGCTACCAGGAGGACAAATTTTTAGCAGGTCCATACACCCAAATTCATAAGACCTGTGGATCGATACACGACGCTTGCCATCGTAGCCATCCATTGAGCGATACACATTGTTACTCGTCGGGAGATTAGTTCTCAACTCCGAGTTGTAAAAACTGATAAAGATTTTCAAGTCATAAGTCGTCTTACTACTACTCATCTCTTGCCATGTCAAAGAAACTAGTTTATAGACCAATGGCTCCTCCTCCTCGTTTCCGCATGTAAACAAGACAAAGAGCTCTCCTTTCTTCTCTGCCAAGTAAACTTTTCTACTTCTAGGCCTATACTTCCGATAATGGGATTTGAGTTCATACGCATCATGAAGATTCCATGTGCCTAAAAATTGGGTGGAAGTAATACAACCTGCCTCCATCGTTAAAACAATAGAAACGATCATTAAGATAAACAAGCTGGCTATACTTGTTGCGTCGATCAAAACTTGTTGAGAACTCCTTAGTAATCCACTCAGCTGCTACATGAGGATGGCAAGTGGTGATAATGACAACATGAGTCATGCTAAAGAACTTTAACGCTACCACAACACAATTATCGGATGTAGGAGGACAAGAGAATGCAACCTCGTCAAAAGACATCTCACAGTTGAGCAAGCTTATGAGCTCCTTGGAAAAAGGGTTGAAGAAGAACATGTCATTTGATTTGTATTTACGCATAAGTAACCAGCCTTCTCTTACGTAACACACTGTGGAGTTAGCTAGCTCTGGTATATTCAAAGTGTAACACGAGCATTGCAACGGATCGCGAAGTTCAAACGATTTGCCATGTTTAGGAAAACACAAAAGCCAAGGATGCTTTCCCACTACACGAACAGATTCTGCCGCTTCACGGAATGACTTGCAAGCAGTGGATGCAATGATGTTGTCTTTTAACGTAAGATGAAACATTATTATTTCTATGAGGCATGATGGAAGATCAGCGAAACTCGGATTCAATGCCTCGTTCCTCGGAGTTTTGGATCTCCTAAACAAAGAAATAATACTTCAAATCAGCCAAAGTTTATTTCTTCTCAAAGTGAAAGCTAATATTTCAACGTTCAAGGTATAACTCTAAACGAAACAATAACAAACAAAAACGAAGAAAAAAAACTCTCAGTGGGAAATATTTTAAGAACCCTAAAAACCTTTGATATCTAATTTAGATTTTTAGACCAATTTGCTCAAAACAGATAAATCTCCATCGAACATCTCGAATTCACTGACACTGAGTAAGTGAGTATCATAATATATTTCGTAAAAACTGCTTGAGATACAAACCGGCTACGTGTGACGGTGGTTGGAGACGGCGAAGGTGACGCCCTTTTAGGAGAAGGCAGAGATGGCGCCATATTCCGAGACGGCGGTGATCTTTGACGGCACAATAGTGGTCGCATGTGGTAAAATAGATATATTATATAATCTTAGGGTTTCTGTTTCATTATTTTCAACACATTGTGATTTTGTTAGTTTGGATTTGGTGATATCTTACAAAACTTCGTTTCACTTGATGATATCTTCTTTCTCTCTTTCGCATGAATATCATTCTTCCGAAATTACATAGCTAAGTGAATTTCAGGTTTTAATCTAAATTTGTGTTGATGTGACATTAATTAAAAAACACTCAAATTAAATATTACATATGACAAACCTTAGACCAATTTACTGAAAAATAATATATTCTGAATAGAGAAACCCAAAACCAAACAAAAAAAATCATATTTTTACTCTAAATCCATAACCTTTTTTTTGTTCTTTCAAGATCCTTCGTCAATAAAAAAAACAATCACAAGTTATTATAAAACGTTCTCTGGCGGATCTATCCATACGGTGTCAAGAGGGTGTGGAATGAGCTTGTTTTCCAACTGGTCAAACAGATTGTATCTGCTTTCATCGAACGAGTAAGTTACACAACGCTTGCCGTTGTGCTTTGAAAAATAGACATTGCTTCTCAACACAGAGTTATTAAAACTGACAAACATGTTCAAGCCACCAAGCTCAGTATCACTCATCTCTATCCATTTCAAAGAGACTAACCTGTAGACCATTGGCTTCTTGTTGTTGCATGTAAACATGACAAAGAGCTCTCCTTTCTTCTCTGCCAAGTAAACTCTTTTTTTCTTACTATATTTTTGATAAGGGCATTTGAGTTCATACGCACGATTCCATGTGCAGGAAGATGGGTGAAAGTAATACAAGATGCCTCCTTCGTTAAAGATATAGAAACAATCATTGAGGTAAACAAGCTTGCTACGCTTCTTTCCTTGATCAAAACCATGCTTAGGGAAGCTATAAGCAATCCACTCAGTTGCTCCGTGATGCCAAGTGCAGATAGTGACATATTTATTATTCACATCAAAGTTCAACGCTACCACAACACAATTATCCGACGTAGGAGGACAAGAGAATGCAATCTCCAGAAAATCCAGCTCAAACTCAGGCAAGCTTATGAGCTCCCGAGAAAAAGGGTTGAAGAAGAACATTTGGCTTGAGATCATTCTCCATTTACGCATAAGTAACCAGCCGTCTCTTGAGCAACACACATTAGATTTAGCTAACTTTGGCAGATTCAAACTGTACGACTTCAGCTGCAATGGATCGCGGAATTCAAACAAGGTTCCTTCTTTAGGAAAGCACATAAGCCAAGGATGATGCTTTTCCACTACACGAACATATTCTGCCGCTTCACGCCATGACTTGCAAACAGCAGATGCACATATGTTATACTTTAACACAAGAAGTGACATTATTATTTCTATAAGGCACAATGGAAGATCAGCGAAACTAGGATTCAACGCCTCGTTACTTGGAGTTAATTCAGACCTACAAAACAAACATATAAACTTCAAATTATGCAAAAGTTTGTGACAGATATTGTTCCTTATCCATGGGAGGTCAGTTCTCATCTCAGAGTTATAATCACTGACAAAGAATGTCAAGCCATCAAGCTCAGTATCACTCATCTCTTTCCATTTCAAAGAGACTAACTTGCAGACCATTGGCTTCATGTCTTTTAGGTATGTAAACACGACAAAGAGCTCTCCTTTCTTCTCCGCCAAGTTAACTTCTTTACACCAACCAATATAACTTATTTTGCGTCCACACGCCTTGTGACACTCCCATATGCGGGAAGATGGACGACAGTAATACAAATTTCCATCTTCGGTAGTGCAATAGAAAAGATTATTGACATAGACAAGCCAGCTACGCTCTTTGTGTCGATCAAAATCAGTTAGGAAGTTGGTAGTCTTCCACTCAGTTTCTCCGGGATGCCAAGTGCTCATAGAGCCACGATAATGCTTATCAAAGTCCAACGCTAACACAACACAATCACCCAATGTAGGTGGACATGAGAATGAAAGTAGATTATCAATACGGAGCTGAAGCTTAGGCAAGCTTATGAGCTCCCGAGAAAACGGGTTGAAGAAGAACAACTCGTTTTCGAACCATCTATGCATAAGTAACCAACCGTCTCTTGAGTAACACACGGTTGAGTTAAGTAACTCTGGTAGATTCATAGTGTATGATTTCCGTTGCAATGGATCACGGAATTCAAACAAGTTTGATCCATCCTTAGGAAAGCACATAAGGCAAGGATGCTTTTCCACTACACGAACAGAAACTCCAGCTTCACGCCATGACTTGCAAGAAGCGGATGCACGGATGTTATCTTTTAACACAAGATGAGACATTATTAGTTCTATAAGGCATGATGGAAGATCTGCGAAACTCGGTTTCAACGCCTCGTTCTTCAAGGTTTCGGATCTACAAAGCAAACAACTAAACGTCAAATTATGCATAAGTTTGTGACTTTCAAATTCGTATAAAAGTGAAAGATGTAATATATCAAATCAAGGTATCTTTGGTCAAGAACTCCAACGTACACAATACGAAACAAACAAAAACACTCCAACCAAAAAAGTTAGGTTTAGTTAAGAAATATATCGATAAAAATTTCCCGATTATAAACACTCATAGAGAAATTAAAATTTGATTTTATTCAGATTCAAACCAATTTGTCAAATCAAATCAAACTGAATATTATAATTTGTGAACACAGCTTGAGAGTAACAAACCGTCTAGGTGGGACAGTGCTTGCAGACGACGAAGGTTACGCCATGGTCGCAGACAAAGGAAAATTGAAATCTTAGGGTTTGTGGTGTTTTGTCGTTTTAGACATCCTACATATAATAACCTTACGTGTATGTTTTGTTTCTTGGATTGCAACACTTGTACACTGTCTAGACTCTAGAGAGGTTCTGGATCGAATTGTCTCTTGGGCCCTAATAAGGCTTCCAGCTTTGTACAACAAACATACTGTATCCATTTAAATTAATCAAAAAACGTGTTTTAAAAAAAAAATGTATGTTTTGAAGTTTGAACATAACAAACATCTAAACAATAGTGTACTAAACTAAACGAGGACAATGACATGGGGTTCTCTCTCAAATTCCAAATTTGGATTATATGACATAGTGTCAGTCGGAGACACACAACATCATAGCTTTGACAAATAGTCTAAAACGTTCATGGGCGGATCAATCCAGAGGCTATAAGGTGGACAATGTTCCAGCCACTTTTGCCATAGTTTACGCGGCATGTATCTCCTTTCGTCGAACGAGTAGGATAAACAATACTTGCGAGTGTTGCCATACCTCGAGAAATAGACATTGTTCCTCATCCATGGGAGATCAGTTCTCAACTCAGAGTTATAAAAACTGACAAAGAATGTCAAACCATCAAGCTGATACGTACGATTCAACTTTTCCCATTTCAGAGAGACGAGTTTATAGAACATTGGCTTCCTATTCCCCCTTGTAAACATGAGAAACAATTCCCCTTTCTTCTCTGCCAAGTAAACTGATTTCTCCACCGACTTAGACTTCTTTGTAGGAAGCTTATAAGGGCATTCGAGTGTATACGCATGATGAAAATTCCATGTCCTGGAAGATGGGTGAAAGGAATACAAGCAGCCTTTTACTGCGTTAAAGCAATAGAATCGATCATTGACATAGACAAGCTTGCTTTGCATATAAACCTCCTTAAAAGCAGTTGGGAAGTCCTCAGTAACCCACTCAGTTGCTCCAGGGTGGCAAGTGCTGGCGGTGACAAGATATTCTGTAACAAAGTTTAACGCTACCACAACACAATTATCCGATGTAGGAGGACAAGAGAATGCAATCTCCATGAAAGGAAGATCAAACTTAGGCAAGCTTACGAGCTCTCGAGAAAACGGGTTAAAGAAGAAGATCTCGTTTGAGATGGATCTATGCATAAGTAACCAACCATCTCTTGAGTAATGCACAGTTGATTTAGCTAGCTCTGGAAGTTTCAAAGTGTACAGATTCCATTCTAATGGATTCGCAGAGTTTAAACGAGTTTCCGCGTTTAGGAAAACACATAAGCCAAGGATGTTTGTCCACTACACGAACAGAAACACCAGCTTCACGCCATGACTTGCAAGAAGCGGATGCACGGATGTTATCTTTTAACGTAAGATGAGACATTATTACTTCCAAAAGACTTGATGGAAGATCAGCAAAACTCGGATTGAGTGCCTCATCGCTTGGAGTTTTGTATCTATAAAACAACAATTGAGATCAAATTATGCAAAGGTTTTTGATTTTCACGTTTCAAATTCTTCTCAAGAAAGTGAAAGCTGTAGTATGTCAAGGTATCAAGCGAATTTAACAGAGGTATAAATTATACTAGCTGCCACATGATTTTAATTTAATTACAGTATTGCAATAAGAAAAGAGAACCAAACAAAAATAAAAAACACTCTTAACGGAGATCGTTGATACGTTTTGAGAATCCAAAATTTTCTCACTATAATTTTTTTTTGTAATTTCATGGAAGCATTACTCTATAAATTTTCTAATTCAAACGAATTCACCCCCAAAATGTTAAAAACTCAATCAAACCTTCGTTAGTAACGAACCTTTTACCGGCGATAATGTTTGAAGATGATGAAGGTGACGTCATAACCGGAGACGGCGGTGGTGCTTGACGGGGCAACGGTTGTCTGGTTGCATATGGTGATTATTGATTAGTGGAGAATCTAAACCCTTAGGGTTTGTCTATTTCTTGATAATTTGTTTTTCTATTTATAGCATGAGAACGGGAAAAAAAAAAGTATAAGGCTTAGCCCACGTTGTTTTAAATAGCCCAATATACATGGTTTTCTAAATTGGAATATAAGGAAATGGATGAACATGAACGTAGACCAGATTTAACCCAATTGAAAGTAAGTGACGAGAGTGAGTGTAAGTTTGAATCTGTTATCATCTCAATTCCTGAGCAGAGGAAAATTTATCTGCCCTAATCACACTTCAGATGCAATCAAAATAAAGGTGGTGTAGATTTTTAATAAACTTGCGATTGCTTAAGACTCGAAGTAAAACCATAGAAGGTCAAGAAAACATGAGCCACATGCATCCAGAAACATATTACAGACGAAGACTTGTTGTATCACATGAATTTTACAACAAAGATAGTGTAACAATCATCCTTGATTTCAATTTGTTTTAAGCAAATTTAAGGACATTTAAGGAAGACCCACAATGATCCTACTACACCTTCATCTACGTGTAACTCACGTAAGTTAGAATTATTAAAATAGTCCCAAAAACAAACTGAAAAATTTGTTCTCTCGATTTCAATCCAAAGAGTAGGGAGAAAACAGAATCCAAGGAACAAGTGTAGAATCAAACCAAAATCACGCAAGTACTTGAAAAAAGCTTCACCATTAATTTGCTTTACCTTCACATGTAGTCTAAAGCTTTCTTTGGTGGTCTAATCCAAATATTCTCAAGAGGACATAAATCCTCTTGTTCTTGCCATTGCTTGCGTGGATAATACCTCTCTTCATCAAACGAATACGACACGCAACGCTTGCAACTAAAACGAAACCTTGGAAGTAAACACTATTCCTCATACATGGGAGATTGACTCTCACCTCAGATGAATAAAGACTCGTAAAGAATGTCAAACCGTCGAGGGTAGTACTATTGATCTCCTCCCATCTCACAGAGTCTAGTTGAAGCGTATACACAATCGGTTTCTCACCTCCGCATGTAAACATTTTAAAGAACACTCCGTTACGCACCGCCAAGAATATTCTTTGCTTCTTACGCTCATATAGATACCCAAATCTATCTGATATGTAACGACAATCCTCTATAATCTCAATTTCATGTCCCCATTCTCGAGTAGACGGTTCAAAGTAATACAAGAATGCGTTACCATCAAGGCAATAGAAGCAACGTCTGGCATAGACAACATTGCTGTGATTGTGCCTATTGCTTCCATAATTAGGACGGAAATGTAAATCCTCGGTAATCCACTTTGTTGCTCCGGGATGGCAAGTGCTCGTAGTCATTAATGTACCATACGCAGCATGCTTAAACGCTAGCAGAACACAAGTACCTGATGTAGGCGCGCAAGAGAAAGCGATCGCTTCATATGATAACTCACATTTTGGTAAGTTGATGAGTTTCCTAGTAAACGGGTTGAAGAAGAACATTTCGTTTGAAACATTTTTCCGCATAAGTAACCATCCGTCTCTTGAGTAACACACCGTTGATTTGGCTAGCTCAGGTAGATTCACTGCGTACATCTTCTGTTGCAATGGATCATAGATTTCGAACAAGTGTCCACGTTTAGGTAAGTGCATAAGCCAAGGAGGCTTATCCACCAACCGGACATAAAGACCGGCTTCACGCCACGTTTTGCATGCAGCGGACGCACGGATGTTATCTTTTAAATCAAGTTTCGATATTATTACTTCCAAGAGACATAGTGGAAGGTCAGCGAAACTTGGCTTCTCTGCTTCTATGCTCTGTTTCTTGCTCTCCAAGGAACAAGCTCCTTTGACATCTACGTTTGGCCTACGTAAGAGTTTTGGATCAACAAAACAGTGTAAATATTGTTCACATATTGTAAATCATGTGATTCCAAAATTACACTGATATTAGAGATTACATAGAACAAATTCTGTAAAATCTTGCGACAAGCAAGTCAGTTTCAGTTAGAATCCGGTTTCCTAAAGAATATGATCCTAAAAATCTTGCGTGCCTTTGTAATGGAATAACAATCATTGTGTTGAGTTGAGTTTGTAGACTTAAAAGTTTTACAATTTTGTGTGTGTGTGTGTTAAGAACACCTAATGAGTTTTACATTGGAGCAAGGAAAACAAAAGTCTCTTAATAAGAGTTGCTAAAATAATTTTATTGATAAAATATGAGTTAAGTGACAATATGTGTCTCTACCAATAATCATGCTCTAAATGCATAACTTAAGAACCCCTAGAACATTTCCGGTCCTGTAAAATCTGAGAATTTTCAAAGAATGTGCATCCAAAATTAAGGTGAAATTGGAGATTTGACAATATTCTAGTCAATTAACCAGTACTAAAGAATCCTAAAACGTTACAGATCCTATTGATTCTCATAACTTTCACAGAAATAATTTGAGTCATATATATGATAAAAACAAATTTAACAAAAACAAACTCAATCGATTCTTTGAATCCACTAAATATTAAGTCTCTGGTGAATTTAATCTACGAAACTAAGTATATGTAGACTAGAAAGGAGACGAAAACTCACTGGTAAAGCCTCCCTTTCCGGCTAGGCATAGTGATAGACGACGATGAAGACGAAGACTTTGAAGATTTCCAGCCCGAGCCATAAAATAAAAATTTACTCAGAGAAAAATAGATTGACTTACTCGTAGCCAGTCCTTATATTATTTCACAAACCCTAATTATTTGCAAGTCGTGTGACTAAACTAAACAAAAGGAACTATCGGCCAAATCTACGCCCGTTACAGCTGACTCGGCTGGTATTTATGAGTACATATGACAAATAATAAAGGCTGGACTTGATAAATATAAAGACAAATGAAAAAGGTAGAATCTGACGATAATTTTGTAACCGACGAAAATACGATCACAATGTGTCAAGGTCCCAGGATTTCCGGGTATTGTAGCAAGAATTACCTTCAAGACAACATTTACATGATGAAGAGAGAAACAACGCAAACGAAAAATTTCCATTCGTGTTGATCCGTTAAAGAAAATTTACGTTATGATGGTTTGTAATAGAGTTTTGTTTAAGAGGAGTAAGTATTTGCATATCCTTAGAATTTTAGTATAACACTTTTATAGCATCCTTGGAAAAGTTTATATATTAGCTAGCATGACCTTTGTTAATATACCCGAGCGCCAATACCCTGAGTGCCAGGCCTGTCCACATCCACAATTCATCTCCAAATGACTTCAGGTTATTATTGGACATGCATGGGCATTTGGATATTTGGTTATGACGTTAACACCATCATATTGAGGAAAAAAATGCAAAAAACAACTTCCAAGTAACAAAAAAAGTACAAGATCAATCTCGATAAAAAAAACTCCAAAATAAACTTCTAAGTTTAAACTGTTACTTTCTTTCATGAGCTCAATAAAATGGTTATCTTTTTGCAAGATCCATGGCTCTAAGAACATTTGGATGAACGACCAAACAACTAAAATATAGAGACTTGTCACAAGACTCACAACTCATAAGGAACAAAAAGAAACAGAATGTTTCAAAGCAAAAGAAAAGACTCTTACCAGTGTCATAGAATCATCAAACCGAAGCAGTTAAACACTGAAAGGATTCAAATGATTCGACAGGAAATGTAAGCATGTCGACACACTCTACATTACCCCAAACCTCACGTCCATTGCATCTTGATTCCAAGGAGATCTTGGCATACCAAATTTTGTTTCTCTGTTTTTTACCAGAAATTTGCCACATAACTAAAAGTTTCCCACCATAGTTCTCCACTAAAAACTTACTACTCCCTTCAGATTCTAAACCCCTTGAACGGTCCTCACGCAACTCTTCCAAACCCTCAATATCTCTCCACTCCCTACCCTCAGTCCCACTAGAGTAAGACCACATCAAAACTCCATAGCCAGTGCAGCAGTATATAACATTCTCTATCTCACACGAACACATTTGGTACTCGAGTAAGAAACTCGACTTCGGTCTTACAAGTTTCCATGTACCATCTTTCACCCCATAAGCGTACTCCTTTTCTTCTATCGCTACGTAAAGCTTTCCTTCAAACACCTCAACTAAATCGTGGTTATAACCTCGGCGTAGAAGATAGCGTAACTCGGCTTCATCAGCGCCAGGACCAGGCAAGGCTGTCCAAGACTGAGTCTTCATGTCAAACACCTCAATCCAATTGGAAGGGTACTCGTCAATCTCGCAACCTCCCATCACATATATCTTCTCATCCACGAAAGCCGCAAACGGATTTTCCCGAGCCACGATCATGTTAGGGGCGTCACGCCAAGTATGACTCCGACAGTCAAGAACCCGAACGGAGGAAGACGGCTTCTGATAGGGTCCACCGATTATGTAGAATTCCGAACCAACCGTTAAGGTGAAGTGATCTGGTACGAGAGGACATTGGGAAGAAGAGAAAGGTGTCCGAACAACAGAAGTTCCACTTGAATCCTTGTTAAACCAGTTCTTTCGGCCTTTCCCTTTGGCTTTCCGTTTGGCTCCAGGTTTCGTCCAGAGACTAAACCAGCTTGGATGTGAGTCTTTGTGCGATAAGCAGACATAGAAGCATGTTTCTTTGGCTCCGATTTGAGATCGTGCCTTGTAGATTTCCTTAGAAGATAAGAGAGAGCAGAATCTCTTTGAGACGAGAGAAAGCCACGGATACTTCCATCTCGAGACACGTGCAAGAATGGTCTCTTTTATTTCGTCTGGAAATGAAGAAAACGACAATGAAGAAATGGACGATGATGGCTGACGACTCGTCTTCTTCTTCTTTTTTTTATGTGGTTGAATCTCTTCGGCGGCCATGATCGCCCAAAATTGCAGTGGAGGCTGTGGTGGAGAGGAAAGATTATAAACATTAGGGTTAACAAGACAGGACTAGGGCTTTGGAATAATTAATTGATGAAAACCAAAAAAGGAATTGATTTATGAAATAACTTTTTAATATTTTTTTTACAATAAAGAAAAAGAACTTTTTAATAAGAAAATATTTTTGAAGATTTACAAGTTAAAATATTTCTCTGAAAAAAATTGTAATGAATTGAATAAAAAAATCAATTTAACTATCCTAGATTTATTCAAAAATCACGTTTGTGTGATAAAAACTTTAAAATGAACTCAAATTGATCCATAAACTGTTCAAAGCGAGAAGCAGATCATTTGAATAAAATACTGTAGAGGGTTACAAACACTTTTTTAGATTGTGGAATTTGTTTTAATAAAAGGTTCACTTATCCGTTATATTTTCCCACTTTGATTTCAATATTGGCATAAGAAAAAGAAAGTAGTGTTTGTAACGTTCTACCATTTTTTAAAAAAGGTTTGCTTAGAGTTTTGGGATCAATCTTGATCAGTTTTGTTGACATGTTGGCCAAGTCACCGCTTTTAAAAAACATTAGCTATTGACGATAGATCTCTTGGAGACAATTATAAATCAGAATTGTACACAGCATTCACGACTCTATCTGTCATCTCAGTATGTAACTTTTTTTTTTTAACTAATGATTTAAATTCATGCTGACAACTATAGACCGATTCTATAAAATAACTAATTGTTATCTGTACAAAATCTCATACATATATTATGCTACAAATTTATAATATAAAAGATCCTTCCCATGGTTGTCACTTGTCTATAAATACGAAGGGGACACAAAGTAAAAAAGAGCCAATACAAAATTAAGAAAGATAACATCTTACACAATCGATAATCTTCATCACATTTCCCTAACATAAGCAATGTCTCAAACAACTACGACTACCACCTCCACCGCGACCGTCGTCCTCCTAACCATATTGCTAATGGCGGCAACAGTAGTTTCAGGGCAAGGAGATACGGCCCCTCCTCCAAATGCAAGTATAGTTTGTGGGGCCAACTTAGGTTTATGTGCAGCAGCGCTTACACAGGGAGGAAAACCGTCAGAGGAATGCTGCAAAAGCCTAGACACAGCGGTGAAGACACAGCTTAAGTGTCTTTGCGACATCCTCACAAACCCACAAATATTGGCCGGCTACGGTCTCACCGTTGAGAATGTTCTTCTCATCCCTAAGAGTTGTGGCATCGATGCTGGAACTTCTATGTGTTCTGGTAACATTTAAATTCACAAAGTTAAGTGTTTTGTAAATTTAAATATGTTACATATATGTTATATCTTATACTGCTTCGATCTTTTTTCTAATAGCCGCGAAAGCTCCTTTGCCGCACGGGATTCCACCGGTTCCAGGTACAAAACAAATAATATTTTAAACCACTTGATACCAAATCGTTAAAATATAGAGCACATGTTTTTAGGGAGTGTTCAAAACTTGGGATTTAAATAATAAAATAAAAATTATTACCATTTTATTGTACCTAAAATACTGAGAGTACTAAAAATTGTAGGACCACCTAAAGATGACAAAGGTGCTGCAACCAAACTCGCGGGAACTGGATTGGCTGGGATCATCTTTATGATGATCTCGACGATGTTTTATTAAATTTTAACTATTCTTTGACAAAAAATTTCTCAGTGAGTGCTTTATTTCCATGGAAAGAAATTGTCTTGGTTTCCACTTGATGATCTTGTATACTATCTACTTATATATTTTTTCCATTCAGAATTTTGAATTTGTGGGCTTCGATATTGTTGTTGTCATCAAATCTCTGATGTATACCGTTTTCAGTGTATGAACAAGAATCAAATTTTATTGTAGCTTACAACAATTGCATATATTATTCTTGATCGAGTACTCGGAGAGTGTATAGTTGATTTTATCTACTGCCTCACCGTTTTTCATAGCTTATAGACAATCGAATCCGTATAACATATAGCACATCTGATCACGGTAAATGATTATCTGGACAATTCTACAATAGTACCATATGTAATTCCTCGTCACACATATTTATGGTATGAGGTTTTACTCGGTCAATCTTACAAAATACAACATATAAAATATGTGATAGACGGTTTTACTTACAGTAGCATTATTTTTTTTTTTTGAGAGAGAATTATATTAATCCAAACGAGGCTCTCACGTTTAGGAGATAATTGCTTCCCACGATGTACTTCATTTCGTTAAAACTTAAAACCACTTTATGTAGAGTTGTGAGTTGTGACAAGTGTGAAATCATTTATAGTTATGTACTTTGGTTGTTGTTATATCCACAAATGTCTACTGTCAGTTTCTAAACTTCTCAAAAACGTTTGCGACTTTGCTACGCACTAAATTAGTCCAGGAATTTATACAAGTCAATATTGAGCTGAGATGGAGTTTTTATTGGTCTATGAAAAATTAATCACACATATCAACGTATTATACAAATTCTAACTTCATCAGTCGCTTTTTTTTTTAACTTAGCACAAACCATTAGGCTTCATTTTCTGATATACGTTTAACCTAATCCAATGCGCGCAGGATATTGAGTGGAAAATATAGTATTTTTTATGACTTAATTCTGTTAAAACTACTCACATATACTTAAAGACTATGCAAAATTCACTCTATCTCAAGAAACTGGCAATTTTCTTTAACTTTTGGTTTCTTATCAATCTGATATCAGATATTCCAAATTCTGGAAAATATACATGAA